CATGCATCTCTGCTATTTCTCGCTAAATTGATCCAGGAAATATTAAAAGTACAAGCAGGTGGATCCGCAAGGATTTGCAGGGGAGCATTTCATTTCTCCTCCCCTACTATTTCCTCTTTCCTTTCCCTGGAAGCCCCCATAGCCTCTCCTCTGTTCTCGCTTCTTTCTTCCCACTCACCGACCAACCTACATTTACCTGCCCCCCTTCAGTTTTCCCTCCCCCTGGCAGATCCTACCTGGGAAACTGGAGCTCAGTTGTGCAGTGCTGGGCCCAGTCATAGGCCGCGCCCTATGTCTGTTGCCCACCCCATTTCCTCTTTCCTTCCTCCCGGCAAACTCCATCGCCTCACTTTTTGCTGCTTCCTTCTCTCCTTCCACTCACTAGCCAGCCTATCTTTTATCTGCCCCCCCATCTTCAACAACATTTATTTCATTTGTGCCACACCTTTCTCCACAATGGGGACCCAGAACAGCTCACAAAATTTTCCTCTCCTCCATTTTATCCTTACAACAACCTCGTGAGGTAAGCTAGGCTGAGAATGTGTAACTACCCCAAGGACACCCTGTGAATTTCCATGGCAGAGGGGTGATTTGAACATGGGTCTCTCAGATTTTACTCTGAAACCATTACACAACACTGGGTTTTGTGGGGTGGGTTCTGTTGAACAGTAGCAAGCAGCCAGTACTGGAAGAGTTATGGAAGTCATGTGGTATCAAGTTGCCCTGTGGCTGGTGCTGGGCCTGGTCCCGATGAATCTGCTATTAAAGTCCAAAACAGCCTGGAAAGGGCCCTGCCGCCCCCTTTAACCAAGGCTTGAAGGCTGGCAGTACAGCTGTAGTTGCCTGGCAACCCCCCACAATAGTCACTGAAAAGGGGAGTAATTTCATAAAGCTATAGGTACTGCTTTCTTTTTTTGGGGGGGGGGGGGGGTTGGGGGAAAGGGCTCCTTGTTTACCTGTTCATGCATGGCTGGCCCTTGGGATCCCAGCAGATAAGATACTGTACCTGCGGGGCCTGAAATCTGGGACAGGTCAACCATGGAATGTGGACTTTACTCTCCTGGTGGTCTCTTCTCCCCAAGTGCTCACCTCCCCTTCCCTCTCCCATCTCATACTCTTATAAGAAAAAAATATTTGCAAATGTGAACTCATTTGATAAGCGTATGAATGATTTTGAAAAAGAACAGCAAACATAAAATTAGGCTAGTATTAAAGAGTAAGAACACGTAGTTTGGAAAAGAGCCATCTGTCCTATAAATTTCTTCAGGGGACAAATGGATACACTGAAGGAAAAAACCTAAGGTTTGTGGATATTTCAGTCTTCCACTGGGGGAGTAGGCATTGTGTGTGGGGGGTGGTGGGGTGGGGTGAGGTGTCCTTTTAGATGACCACTGGTTAAGCCATTCCATGAAAACACTCTAAAGAGCCTAATTCCCCCCCTGGATCTACCCTGCCCCTGTTGACATGTATGCGTTGTGAGTTCTGTGCTCAAAGATGAGCATGGAAGAAAAAAAGTGAATGAACAAAAGCAGAGCCATTGAGCTTTTAAATTCCCTCGAGGGCCTCATTTATTCAGGGGGTACAAAAATAAAATCATATAGAGGCGCACAAGCACTTCAGGGAAAAGCCATCATGATTAGGAAATAGCACAGCATTAACAGGGTCTAGTAAACAGTTGCATTTTCCTTTAAATAATCAGGGAGTTCAGGAAAACAAGATGGCTGCTCCATCAACCTTACCCCAAACACAGAGTAATCGGAACGCTTAGCGATTCTAGATAAAGCTTTTTATCCAGAGGCTTCAAAACTTTATTCTGTAAACAAACTTTTTTTTTAGGTTACATCTTGAGCCAGCAGCTTTCCCATGATTGATTTAGTGCTGTAGCAAGTATCAAAGTGAAACGTACCATCACAAAGAGGTATCAAGCTATGCCACCTGCATTTGATCTGCCACTCCTTATACCATTTGGAGTAGCTACTACCATAGTCCCTGTGCAACTTCCAGCATCCAGGCACACGAACACTTCAAAAACCCTATACCTGGAATCACTTGTGGCACAAGAAAGGGGATAACATTAACAGAATCTGAGGGACTTGGCCTAGGAAGCCACATAGTCCTCGTATGAAGGCTGGTTGAAACAGTAATGCCCCTTTCGAATGGCAAATAAACCGGCACAACAGAACTGATACTACAGTTCCAGAAATAATATATTCATGGCAACCTGTACTTGTCTTAAAAAATACTTTACAATAGAATACATGGCATTTCTCCTACATTGCACCAGAAGTAATTTGGAAGCACTTTCAGTTAGTCGTTAAGAGGCAAAACAGGGAAATGAAAGACAAGCCCCTGTGGGCTTTCAGATCCCTCAGTAATATATATCCCTCCGCCCCTCTATTGCTTTTACATTTCTGAGTCTGCATACATCCCATTGATTAAATAGTCCACTTGAGTATAGTCTTTCTTCCTGTAGCTCTCATATGCCTGTGTGGCAAATAAAACTACAACTGTTATGAAAAATAGGACTCCAAAAATAAGAGCTAAGAGCAAACTGATATCTACCTGCCAATAGATACTCTCGCTACTTAGGCCTTGCTGATCGTGGCTGTGTTGTGCAGTCACTGATTTGGACAACGTCGCTGAACTTGCCACAGTCAGCACTGAGGAAGGGGTGATAGGAGTTGGCGCCGTCACAAGTTGGCTGGTAGTCTCTGTTTGCTGTGTAGCGATGGAGGTCTCAGCACCCTTTGTAGAGACGGTGGGAATTATCCTAGCTGGATTAGATTTTGTCTTGTCCATCAAAGTCGTTTTATCACCTGACTTTGTTGTTGGTTCGACTGCTCCTGGAGTTGTCAGGGCCGTGCTGATCACTGTTGAATGGGGTCTCCGTGGCGGTGGACTGTGTGTTCCTGCGGCAGTTGTTAAAGATGTGCTTGTAACTGCTGAACAAGGCCTCGATGTTGGTGGACTATGGGTTGCTCGAGATGCATTGGTCACTACAGAATGGGTTCTTGTGGTCTGCGAACTGTGGGTACTTGCTTCTGCAGTAAAGCTTGCTGGTGCTGACTGACTTCTTACAGAGTTAATTAACACAGAAGTTTTGGGAGAAGTAGCTGGGGACAGGGAAGGCATTGAATGTTTCACTGCTGTGGGTTCAGTACTCCTGGAAAGAAGTTCTATGGGTGTCGTTGTCTTAGTTGGAGCCAAAGTTGGCTCCTTATTACCTGTTCCTTTTGAGCCTGTCGTACTCTCAACATTAAGGAAATATGTGGTAGATGATGCTCTATGAGGAGGGAGGCTGGAAACTGAAGAGATGGCTGGGACGCCAACAGCTGATTTACTACCACTTGTGGTAATACTGTTATGAATTCCACTTAGGGCTGTTGTGCCTGTTGTGAGTTGAGAGGCGGCAGTGGGTGTGTTGTTCAGAACCATTACAGTTGAGTTGAACCCACTATCATCAGAAAAATTACTTGCTTGAGTTGACGAAAGAGGCACTTTTGTATAATTTGTATTAAGAAGGTTCTTATTAGTCTCCATCTCTGGTTTCCCTTTAGACTCTTCGGTGTTATTGGGCTGTCGGGTTATTCCAGTCTCTCTTCTTTTACGGATCACGAACTCTTAAACAACAACAAAAACCAAAGATATGATAAGAACTAGAGAAGAGCCCTGATGGATCAGACCAGAGGTCCATCTTAACCAACATCCTATCTCACACAGTGGTCAACCAGTTCCCCTGGAAGGCCAATAAAAGGGCACAGAGGCCTTCCCGTGATGTTGCCTCCTGGCCCTGTGATTCAAACATTTGCTACCTCTGAATGTGGAGGTTTAGTCACCATGGCTTTAGTCACCTTTAGTCACCATGGCTAGACCAAGAATCTGTCTAACCCCCTTTTAAAGCCATCTATGCCTATGGCCATCACTACATCCTCTGGCAGAGAATTCCACATTCTAATCACTCATTGTTTAAATAAGTAACTCCTTTTGTCTGTCCTGAATAATGATCAAGGATACAAAAACTGGTAGTGGTACATGAAGGGCAATTTGCTTTCATGGGGCAACCTTTAATTTACTAAGAAAAATCACACAGTCAAAATCTATTTAGAGCTAACATCTTTCATATAGCATCTTTCCGAGAACGTGCTGTTTCACGTGGCTTCTGGTTGGTGACTCCATGGTCCCATATGCTCAAATGCCACTTGCAGTAAAGGAATACAATTGGCCACATAGCTCTTTCAAGCTAGTTATATTCTACTGATACAGGTGGCAACAACTACACTACACAAAATAGAAGTGAACAAGTCCAGTGGTGTAACATCATTACAACCTATGCTGCTTATGTTTCAATATGCCATGTTGGGACACAGCTGACTGGTAACACATTTTTAACATCAAGGGCTGAAGCAGTAACATTGGTTCTACCCACTGGGTGCGTTCAGACGGGGCATTTGCAACGGTATAGGTGCTGGTTGGAATCGGTGTACTTACCAGCGTTCACACGCCGAACATCTGCCTTCTGTCCCTAACCGTTGCAAAGAGCTTTAAACCGTTGTATTCTGCCACTAGGTCCCCAAGTGGTGGTATCCTGAGTGCAACGGTTGGAATCGCTTTACCCCCCGTCTGATTGCTCTCCAACGTTGTAGAGCCACTACGTTCGGAAGCTCGAGGCTTCCGATTTTCACCCGCCTTTTTTTTTTAGGTCGGCGATATGTGCTTGGGCGAAGCTTCGCCCTGACGTTTGTTTAAAAAAAAGAAAAGAAAAGGTCCTTAGTTTAACTTTTAGAGGAGTCCGGGACCTCAGGGAGGCCACTTTGCTTTTTAAACTTTAAAGGTAAGTCCTTACCTTTAAACTTTAAATGTAAGACGGGGTGTTTTGCGCATGCGCGAAGATCGCCATTCTGTGGATGGCTGCCTATGCGCATGCGCAAACTAAGTTAAAACAAACAAACAAACCGCCGACGCCCGCTGTGTGTGGACGGGCGTATTGCGATGTGCTGCGCAGTCAGGAGGCGAGTGTGATCGCGTTTCAGCCGGCATAAACTGCACTGGTTCCAACCGGTACAGTTTATGCCGGCTGAAACGCCCCTTCTGAACGCACCCACTGACTCCCATGCTAGCTAAGATGGATCTCCTAACCCCCCTACACTACACTATTGGAATTCTCCCTGTATCCCTCAAGTTGCTCAAAGTGAACAGCTGCGGTATGCAAGAAGATAGCTTTGCCGAAACGTCTGCCTTTCACACTCAAGGAATGCAAGATCCCTTAGGCTCTGCCTCTACTTGTACAGTAGACTGTGATCAAGGGATATAAAATCAGTGGAAGGCTTAGGATCGGGGCCTATTACAGAGGCTAAATAGGAAACCCCCAGGGGTTGGATGGTTTCTACAATTTACCTCCAAAAAATATCTGAAAAGCCTTTTTAAAAGCACACCCACTTCAACTCTCCCAAATATTTAAATTAAAAAAAGCACCCCCGGCCAAGTTAGAATGCTGGGACATATTACTCATCAGCACTACTAGTACATAAGACCCTATTCGGCTTACCATGACTGCTAAATCCCTCAAAACGCCTTTGCGGATCACCACGAAAAGCTGCCCTTTTAAAAAGGCCTGTGAAGGGCGCATGAGAACCGCACTATACAAGTCTGTCTTGCTCTATTTTGTTCCTGTGTCACTTTTAATTAGGACAGAAGGCCTTGCTGCTTTAAAATTCATTGCGAGCACCAGATGCTAAAACCCTACTGATTACACAGTTCCTGTCTTGACAGCCAACCAATGCCAAGACTTCCTCCGGGAAGACATGGGTGTAAGGCTAAACAAACACACCAACGAAAAGACACAAAAGTGCACGAGGGAAATGGCACGGCTGCTTTTAAAATGTCGACAACCTAAACCAAATTGTTTTTTTTCAGAATCACATAATTCCATTTTTTTCACTGGACAGATTCCCAGATGCAAAAAAAGGGGTGCTCGATTTCCCCACATTAGATGTGAATGCCTAGGGTTGCCAAGCGTACTCACCCTTGCCGGCGGGGGAGCCTTGCCGGGCTCTGGGAGCTCTCCCAGGACGTGCACGCACGCCACCAGCACGTCACAGGAAGTGACGTGCTACGTCGCTCACGTTGGGGGCGTGGCCCAGATCTTCGGGGGGGAAACCATATGGAAACCATATGGAGTTCCCCCCGGGCCCCGATTCTGCCGCGGCGGAAATCAGGCCTCCAAAGCAGGGGTTTCCCCGCTCCCTGCCCCCACTTGGCAGCCCTATGAATGCCTTTGGATTTTGATAAGAGGCCTGCAGAGCTACTGATACTCCAGTGCAACAGACCTTCAGCTTCCCTAGCAGACCGCTCCCATCGTAATTGATCTACTTTTCCTGCTTATCTCGCAGGCACCAAAGAATAGTTGATAGGGCAGCCGCAAGACCTTAGCTTAGTGGGCCTGCCAAACATCAATTCATCCCTAGTAGGATCCAGATCTTGTCATGTATGTGCATGGACCACAGTGTTAGGACACCCCTCTTTCCATAAATACAACATTTTTTTTTTTGGTTCATTTGAGCTGCCTGTACCAGGATGACTAGTAGGCTAAATGTGGCTTGGGTCCAGACTAAATCGGTGGTTTCCAACAATTCCCCCTTCCCGATGTGGACGACCCCCATGCTATTCTTCAAGGTTTCCTATCCTTCAGTAGCAGCCTTTGATGGAGGACAGAGGCATTACTGCCAGCGGAAAATTTAGGCAGAAGCAAAAGCCTTAAAAGGAAAAGCCTTTGCTGCAAATTCAGTTCACTAGACGTTTCGTTCTTAACCTGTCCAGCAATCAGAGGCTAGAGGCTTAGTATAACCAAGGATGAACAACCAGTTCTTTGTAGTACATTGTTTGTCTTCCAAACCCTATAAACCCTTAAACTAATCCATTTTCCTGCTGGCTGAGCTTTATCCATGTTTGGGCAGGGCTATTTTTGGGCAGGAACGCAAAGGAACGGAGTTCCGGCTGGCTTCAGAGTTGGCCACGCCCAGCAGGAACTCATTAGCATAATAGGCCACACCCAACAGCAGAAACTCATTAGGGTAGGCTACATTAGGGGTGTGTGGCCTAAGGCAGAAACCGGGCCTCCAAAGCGGGGGTTTCCCCGCTCCCCGCCCCCACTTGGCAGCCCTATGAATGCCTCCGGGTTTTGATAAGAGGCCTGCAGTGCTACGGATACTCCAGTGCAAGAGACTTTCAGCTTCCCCAGCAGACCGCTCCCATCATAATTGATCTATTTTTCCTGCTTATCTCCCAGGCACCAAAGAATAGTTGATAGGGCAGCCTCAAGACCTTAGCTTAGTGGGCCTGCCAAACATCAGTTATCCCTAAACAATCTTGCAAATCCCAGGCCTCTAGGACCCATCACCTCTCTGCTAAGACCTCTGGGAATCTGTTGGAGCTCCCTTTAAAGCATAATATCTGGAAGCTGAGTAGGAAAAAAGAAGTTTACTGTGCAAATGAGCCCATTAAATTTTGCCAAGAGCCCATATTACCTCCCATTAGTTCTTTGACATCCTGTATGCTGGCATTCCGACACGCACTCGGTTGAGGACACCGCAGGAGTACACAGCGGCTTTGGTAAAGCACTGACCAGCAGTAGCGATTACCTAGAACACCACACGGGGAAGAAGGACATCTTTCTCATTTTAGCAAAAAATAAATAAATGAACGCAATGCAGTCGAATCTACAAAGAAGAGAATTTTGCAGAATTAAAAGACGCACTCTTCTGTTCTAAATTTCAAGACAAGGGGAGGGAAGAATCTCCAGTTAAAAGGATCTCAAGCGTTGAGGCTGGCAATGACAACTGCCTGGGATCCGGGAGAATGGTTGCCTGTCAAAAGTACAAAGCACTGGCCTGAGTGGGCTTGTATTAAGCATCTTATGACATGCACTTATGACATGGCAAACAGATGGAACTGGAACTCATTTCATGGGATGAAGAGAGGGAAAATCTGGGCATGTTTACCTTAAAGAAGATTGGGGCTGGGTGGCATGAAGCACAGTTACTGAAGGAATTACCTAATCAGGAAGACTGGGCCAAAAAAAGCAGTCAGTCCAAGTTACAGCAATGCAGACCTCAGCCAGGCAATGTAAAAAAGCTGCAGTAGACAAAAGTGAGAGCTCCTTCCCTGAATGCTTTTAAATTGAGGAATGGGTGGGCCTCTGTAAGAGATGATTTAAAGCTATATGGCTGTAGGGGGCTGGATTAAGAGACCCTTGGAACTCATTTCAAATTTGATTCTAAGTACTTTCCAAGACCACAAGGCAAAAAAGACACACAAGAATGCAGAATGTCACCAGATGCAGACACACCTGGTTTGGTGGCAATACTATAACAATTTCTATACTAGCAGCATGCACAAAGACTCTTCTGTGCTCGCTGATTTGTATTAATCAGGAAGACTGGGCAAAAAAAAAAGCAGCCAGTCCAAGTTATAGCAATGCAGACCTCAGCCGGGCAATGTAAAAAAATCTGCAGTTGACAAAAGTGAGAGTTCCTTCCCTGAATGCTTTTAAACTGAGGAATGGGTGGGCCTCTGTAAGAGATGATTTAAAGCTATATGGCTGTAGGGGGCTGGATTAAGTGACCCTTGGAACTCATTTCAAATTTGATTCTAAGTACTTTCCAAGACCACAAGGCAAAAAAGACACACAAGAATGCAGAATGTCACCAGATGCAGACACACCTGGTTTGGTGGCAATACTATAACAATTTCTATACTAGCAGCATGCACAAAGACTCTTCTGTGCTCGCTGATTTGTAAAAATAAAGCCAATACCTAGGAAACCGATGCTCTGTTTTCAGTTTAAAATAAAGCAATGAAGTTGTTTAGCTACCACTTCTAGAAGCTATACTTATAAATGCCAAGAAAATGTAGACAGAACTCTATTCTTCAATGGAAAACATCTAAAGCAAGGTAGTCTTACCTGAAACCGTTGTGCCTCTACAAGCTTGCTTGCAGTGTTTTTCGTTACTGAGTACGTTTATCCATGCTACTTGGGCCCCACTCTGTTTTAAGATGGAATCCCTGTTTTCAGATATGCATAAGGAAATCAGCAAGAAAAATACAGCAGCTGTCCACATCTTGGGGGGCTTGCCTTGGAAGGAGGTCAACCCTTCCCGATGATGTCCTCCAGATTTACCAAGCACTGTCAGTAAGCCCTTAAGTGATACATCTGTAAAAGCACAAAATTAACAACCTTGCATTTTCTAAACATTTGTACGACATTTCCAAATTTATGCTTGTTTGCTAAAGCTCTTTCTATGGATCCCCCAAACTGTGGTGATCTCTGCAACTATTTGCAGAGCTGTAATTATTCATAAGACAATATAACAAGCATGATTCAGCCAAGTTAAGAAGGTTAAGAATTTCTTCCAAAAATATATAGAAGCTGTAATGATGTACAAAACACTTATAATCTCACAATAATAATACAAAAATAAACAGTCAAATTGAAAAATATTAATTCCCAACTGGTATCAGAAAGATGGACGAACTTCTCCGGAGTTTTGGCATTCGTTTTGTGAAGAACTTCTTCCAAACATCAAGATGTGATAGTGTTGCTTCTTATTCCAATACAAAGGTACTAATATCCTATATGTTGACCATGTTCTTACATAACAAATCCTTCCATCAACGGGCACACGAAGTGTACTAGCATCATTACAGCTTTTATATATATATATCTATAAGTTAAAGGAGTATGGCCCAGAACTGTGCCTAGACAGGACACTGTTGAAAACTATAGGTAGTCTGCTTAAATTGCACAAAGGAAGTACGGGATAAATTATGTAAGAAATTGCAGGTGGAGTCTGCTGTAAATTACACCATAAAATTTTCTAAGTACAACTCAATTTCCTCCCCTCCGTAGCTACATTGTTAGAACTATATAAACGTCAGTATTTCCTCTCAAGCGGCAAATTATTTTACAAAGAGTAAAAACAAGAAGAAAAAACACAGCAACACATAGAAGACCACAGAGCTAACCAATGATCTAGTAGTCTGGGACATGGGCGATCCAGGCATGAACCCTACTAGGTAGCTGGCCCATTGCCATCATGGGGCCCATGGGGCCTGGCCCCCTAGTGTTTCTTCTGGGGCCCCTCCCCTGGGCTGCCCCCAAAGTGCTCTAACTTACCACCTGCACTGCACTTTCATTTAAGTAGCTGGCAGGCACCCGGAGGCCGGAGCTTCTGCTGCAGCCTCTCAGGTTTGCAGGCACAGGATACTGTGAGCCCAGGCTGCTTCTGTCCACGGCCACTCTTTTCACCACTTCAGCTAGTGGGAAAAGCTGTGACCTCTCTGTTGCATTTGGCTCTTCTGTGGAAGACTGCTCCTAAAACTTACTCAGAGGTTTCAGCTGGTGCAAACTGAGACTGTCCTTTCAGAAAACTTATTACATCACTGTATGTAATGGTTGAGGAAATTCTGTTCCACTGTATCTGAAGAAGTGTGCTTGCACGGGAAAGCTTATACCTAGAATAAAACTCTGTTGGTCTTAAAGGTGTCACTGGACTCAAACGGTTATACTACGTCACTGTTTTTAGAGCCATACTGACTTTAATTGCAGGGACCCTAAGCAGCTGGAGAACTACATGGTGAGAAGACCACAACAGTCTTTACAATCTAAGGCTCACCAGAGACCAAATTTGAGAAAGCCAGGGGCATACAGGGTTGATGTTGTTTAAAAAAGAAGAACACATTCCTTCCGTCAGTCCTTTGAGTAATATTCACTGCACTAAATGCACCTTCCTTCTTTTGCATTAGCCTTTCAGGAGCTGCGGTGGCTCAAGTGGTTAAGACGCTGAACTGCAGGCTGTGGAAGGTCGGTAGTTCAGCAGTTCGAGACCCGGGTTGCCGCATGACGGCGTGAGCTCCCGTCTCTAGTTCCAGCTCCTGCTAACCTAGCAGTTCGAAAGCAAGAAATTGCAAGTAGATAAATAGGTACCACTTTGGTGGGAAGGTAACAGCGTTCCGTGCGCCTTGGCGTCTAGTCATGCCGGCCACATGACCACGGAAACGTCTTTGGACAGCGCTGGCTCTTCGGCTTTGAAACGGAGATGAGCACCGCAACCCTAGAGTCGGATTCGACTGGCTTTCGAGCAAGGGAACCTTTACCTTTTACTTTCAGGCATGTGGAGAATGTCTCATTTTTCTCAGATAACAATCAAAATATGTTCTATCAAAAGCACACATTTAAAAACAGAATAGATCAGTACAAAAGTTGAAACCCCGAGGAAAATTAAAGAACGGATTAAAAACTTATTTTTTCTGTACCATATATATATATATGTGTGTGTGTGTGTGTGTGTGTATGTGTGTGTGTATAGGTAAAGGTAAAGGTTCCCTTGCTCGAAAGCCAGTCAAATCCGACTCTAGGGTTGCGGTGCTCATCTCCGTTTCAAAGCCGAAGAGCCAGCGCTGTCCGAAGACGTTTCCGTGGTCATGTGGCCGGCATGACTAAACACCAAGGCGCACGGAACGCTGTGACCTTCCCACCGAAGTGGTACCTATTTATCTACTTGCGATTTCTTGCTTTCGAACTGCTAGGTTGGCAGGAGCTGGAACTAGAGACAGGAGCTCACCCTCTCTTGCGGCACCCGGGTCTTGAACCGCTGAACTACTGACCTTCCACAGCCTGCAGTTCAGCGTCTTAACCACTTGAGCCACCGCTCAAGTAATAAGTTTTAGAAAATCAGATCACTTGGAGTCAAAACAAAAAGAAACACAAGGTTACTAGGGCAGATGCCATTTTTTACTGCTTAATTAATACTACATTTTAAATATATAGCTTGGAAGTTCTTTGTTCCAGGCCATTCACGGTGACCAGGATGCCATCAGTCAAATGACCTTTGGCCTCAGGAGCAAATTCAGCTGAGCCACGTTATATAAACAGACATGGGAGCCAAGTTGCCACCCCAACTCTCTTAAAAGCCGTCCCACCATATTTCCAAGCCTTCAGCTCCCTTATAGCCCACTAAGTCAGTACTGATATCATGAACCAGACTGGGATGACCACAATTCTGCTGCTAATAATTTGAGATTTCCAAAAAGGATAGAATTTGTAAGGGAAACATAAATGACAACTATACAGGCTGCAGAACCTAAAAAGGTTAGTCAAGAATAGAGGAGGGCCAACTCTAAAAATCTAATTATGAAGCATACAAAAATATACATGTATTTATTAAACACAAATTAAAATAACAAATAAGGGCCCATTCATACCTCATATACAAATATAAAAATACAAAGGCTGATGAAATAGACTTAACGCGTTTCAGCCTTCACAGGCCTTCCTCAGAGGTCTAATGCAAATAGAACATATTGGCTAATATGTAAAAATATATACAATCAAACATATACAAAATATGAAATAAAGACCAGAAAACAATTGTTCCAAAGTTTAACCACTGGGCAAAAATACAAATGAAACCTCCAGTGCAATCACATGTCCAGTAGTACTTCTCTCTGGTCAACTATATATTCTCCTGAGATTGTATAGCCAAATGTTCCCAATGAAATATTCCTTAAGTTAAAAGCAGTGTTGCTCAAAAAAGCGTTGGACCTATATAACTATACAGGCTGGCCACCCAGATGGCGTCTGGGGCACTGCAAAATGGCAGCAGCTACATCAAGCAGACCACAACCACCAGACCACAAGCATTTTTCAAATAAGCTATTTATTTAGGCTGGTTTTTAATGGCAAAAGGCACTGATGCGGTTGTGTATTCATTTAGCCTGGCTTTAGCAGACCTGTACTTTTGGAACGCTACACTGTTAATAGATGTACTAGGTCTGGATTGGAAAATACCTGGAGACAGACCACAACCACCAGACCACAAGCATTTTTCAAATAAGCTATTTATTTAGGCTGGTTTTTAATGGCAAAAGGCACTGATGCGGTTGTGTATTCATTTAGCCTGGCTTTAGCAGACCTGTACTTTTGGAACGCTACACTGTTAATAGATGTACTAGGTCTGGATTGGAAAATACCTGGAGACTTTGGGGGAGGAGCTGGGAGAGGGCGGGGATTTGGGCTTTGACAGGGTGAGTTTTGTATCTGATCAGGGAGCAGAATTATCACAAAATGTGAAAACCATCTGCCCGGCCAGCTCCTTCGTACCTGGGAAACAGGAAGAGTATGCTATGACCAGCCAGTCTGTATCATTTCACTTCCTTTTATTCTGATGTTTTATAGATCTCTCTGGGGCTGTTCACACTAATTGTATTAAGGGCTGCATGAAAAAGTAAAAAGGAGATTGGCTATCCATGATCAAAACTAGCTTCTTAAAACCCATTTAAAATTGCATCGGCAAGCAGATGTCAATTTCACAATTAAAAAATTAAAATATCCCATCGGTCTGGAAGCAGAATTCCCACAGTACATTTCTTCTCTTGTGACTTCTACACACATGCCAAGAAGGAACAATTTTGCAAAGTAAATAATAATAAGGCAATGCTGCCGCCACTGCAACCAGCTTCATTGCATGAAGACAACTGTATTCTCTAAAGAAACTTCTAAAGCAATTTCAATAAAGCTCCGTCAACAAATAATTCTCTTCACGTGTACAACAGGTACTTCATTCTGCCATAAAGTCTGCCTGTGGTTTGACTTCAAAAACCCTCGATACTTTGCATAGTGTCGGCTTTTACTTTAATGTTTCTAGTAGCCTGTACTTATATTTCTTTAAACGAGGAAGACTAGAATGTACTAACATTAACAACACAGTTAGCTCGAAAGTGGGACCTTTGAGAGGGGCTGTGGCTCACTGGCAGATCATCTGCTTTCCATGCAGAAAGGTCCCTGGTTCAATCCCCAACATCTCCAGTTAAGAAAAGGACCAGGAGGTAGACGATGTGAAAGTCCTCTGCCTGAGACTCTGGAGAGCCACTGTCTAGGGTTCCCATTCCCAAGGTGTGTGTGGGGGGAATCCCCCACTTTTGGGGGCTTCTGCTTACTGCTGGCCAACTAGCCAGCGGGGAAACCCCACCCCAAACAGCGTTGTTGCATGGTGATGTCCTCGACATGATGACGTCACACAGAAGTGATACCATCACATTGGGGCATCACAAGGAAATACTCTGGGTTTGGGGCAAAGCTCTATGGTTTGAGGGCAATTTTACCATAGAGTTATGCCCTATGCTGCGATGGCTCAAGTGGTTAAGACGC